AGCCCTTGCCTGGCGCCCCGGGAGGTGTGGGGGTGGGCCCAGGGCCCCTCCCGCTCAGCCGGAAACCACGGGGAGCGCGGCGACCTGTCTGCTGAGGAGCAGCTGAACCTGCCTCAGGCCCCTCGCAGCCCCACTTTGCAGAGGGTCGTACTGGGGCGCAGTGTGGGGGCAGGATTGGGTTCCGAGACACCTGCCTCCCTGGGCCTTCCACCTGGGCATGAATGGGGGGCAGTGGACGCTGCTCCTGGGGTAGCTGGAGCCAAGCCAGGCAGTCCTCACACGTCATCTTTCAGAGCTGGGTGTGCCCCCCCCCGGGGGTACAGATGAGGACATTAGGGCTCTGGTCACCCTTGGATGGACAGGGCAGGGAGATGACTAGAACCCGGGCTGCCTAAGGTGGGCAGGAGCCAGGAATGGCAGTGACCAGCCCAGGCAGCAGCCAGCAGCGGGAGGAGCCTGAGGGGCCCCTGGGGACCCAGTGGAGTCCAGCGCCTCTGGCTACCTTCGCCCATCTGCTCACCCCTTCCACAGGCCACTAGCCGGGAGCCAGGTCCTGAGATGACTCTGGCCTCAACACCAGTGCAGGAGGCTCCAGGAGGGACCAGCCCCACTCGGGGGTCGGGCAGCCCCCCGGGAGCACCAGTGAGAGGGTGCAGAAGCCTGCCCTCCTCTCTGGGTCCTCAGAGGCCTCCTGACTGGGTCCAGAGGCTGTGGGTGGGCCCCCCACCTCACCCTGCGCAGCTTCCTGCATGGGCAGGTTGGCCGCATGGGTGATGGTGGCCCAGAGACCACCCCGCTGGCGTCCCATGCCGGCCCCAGCCCCAGCCAGGCAGCCACAGGCGGGTGCCCCCGGGAGCCCCACAGTTAACCCTTTTTCTCTCAGCCTGACTTCGCCCCACCCCCACCCTGGGCAGTCCTGTCCCGCCAGCCCCGGGGCGTCCCAGAGCCTCACTAAGGGTCCGGCATGTCTCACCTCGCCCTGTGCCCACCCGGTGCTTAAGCAGAGGTGCTGGGACTGGTCCCCGCCCTGCCTTCCTCCGTGGGGGAGAGGACAGGCCCAGTGAGGGGCGGCAGCTGGGGGCCGTGACGGGTCAGCTTCCACTGGGCCTCGCCCGGCAGCGCCCCCGGCTGGGCCTGCCCGCCTCTGGTCTGGGAGGCCACAGGCAGGGATGGCTGGGGTTTCACTTCTGTTTTGGGGGCGGTGATAAGTCACATGAGGACCTCCATCCTCGCCCCTAGTGGCTCAAGGATTTTTTGTTTACCCAACTTGAACTTTGGAAAAAAAGTGGAACCTCATCTGGGGAGAAACGGGAAGGAGCAGAGCCGGGCCTTCCCCCACCCCCGCCTGCACGCCCACCCCCGGGTTGGCGGGAGCATGAGGTGGGGGAGGACTGTGGGGCTCCAGGCTGGGTATAAAGCTCTGTGACTTAGGGCAGCCCCTTGGCTTCTTGGAGCCTCGTTCTGTGCCTTGGGTATGACAGTCCCCGGCTTTGGAAGGAAGGGACGGAGAAAACGGCAGGGCAGAGGCCCGAGTTCCGCGGGGTGGCCCCCCCTGGAGTCACTGCCGTCTGCCGGGCAGCCCCGCAGGGCATCGTCGCCTTGAGGTGCTGCAATTATGAATCCCGTTGTGTGGATGGGGAAACTGAGGCGTGGGTGGCCAGGGCATCTGGCCAGGAAGCCCAGGGCCGGGATTCGAAACCAAGCCTGCACCTGACCCAGCCTGGTGGCTGGGGACAGGGAGCGTGGACGAGAGAACCCAGGGTGACGCTGGGCGGGGTGACGCTGGGCTCACGGGGCTGCTCAGACCTGGCTGGTGAGAGACTGGACGGGTGGTACCTGGGTCACCGACAGGGCCTCCCTGGGTGACGCTCTGCTGCCCCAGTGCCAGGTGGGGCAGAGGAGGCTAAACAGTGAATAAGCCGCCCTCCCCATCCCAGAAAGGAGATGGGGTCCAGTACTCTCCGTGCAGGTGCGAGGAAGGGGGGGGCGAGCCTCCAGGCCAGGGAACAGCAAGTGCGAGGGCCAGAGGCAGGAGGGGGGGTGGCACAAGTGTCACAGAGAGCGCCCAGACCCCGAGGGGTCCAGAGAGCCGGCCTTGTCCTCCAAAGCCACATGGCGTAGGGTCCACCTGGGCAGGGGCCCAGAGTGGGCCGGGACCTCCGGAAGAGGAAGAAAGACACAGGCTGGTGAGCGAAGGTCCATGAGAATAGCAGGGTCAGGCCAGGGGGCTGCCGGGACCCTCCTGGTTTGGGTCACGGGGAGAACTTGGCCAGGCCCCATCCACCCCCCACGGCAGACAGGGCTGGGCGGGACGGCCCCGGCGCCACGTTCGTCCACCCCAGTGGCCCCCACAGGCCTGAGACTTGAGTTCCCAGCTGTCAGGATTCCGGGGGGGCAGCTGCTAGAAGACGGCTGGCTTCCTGGCGGCCATCAGGCGTCCCGTTGGGTTTTTGTCTTTTTTTAGTCTGTAAACGGTGAGCAGCCTTATGTGACAGCAGTCGAGGGGCTGGGTCCACCAGGAACTTGTACCATGGGCGAACACGATCGCAGCTGTGACCCCACGCTGAGGCTGGGCCCTGGCTGCCGTTTCCTCCTCACGGCACCCTGGGGGCACACTCATGACCCCCATTTCACCGGCGGGAGACAGGTTAGGGGATGCGTGTCCCTGGACACGCGAATAACCAGCCTACCCACGTCAAAGCCCCGAGGAGTCGGGCTCCCCAGGTCAGGTGATGAGTGTGCAGTGTGGTCACGGTGCCTGTCCCAGCTGAGACCAGCGGCTCAGAGCCTCTGTCACCCACCTGGGATGTGGGGCCCATCCCCTGCTCTGTCCCCTCCAGGGCACAGAGCCGGAAGCCCCGCCCAGACCTGGGGAAACTGCAGGGGGACATCTGGCAGCTGCTGGGCAAGCTCCGTGGCCTCCCACAGGGGGCTCGGCCTCTCTGAGCCTCAGTTTCCTCGGCCGGAAAGTGGACAGCCAGCCCATGTTGCTTAAGGGTGGGCTGGTGAGGGCAGACAAGAGCACCAAGAGCTCAGTGGCCACCGTCCGCCCTGTGACGTGACCAACAGGGTGCGCCCAGCCGTCCCCTGCCCACCGAGAACCGGCCAGCCGGTCTGCAGTGGCGAGCCTCGGAGCAGCCACCGGGTCTTGGAGGGGGAGCAGTGGAGCCACCCAGACCTGGTTCTCGCCCTCGGGAGCGTGTGGCCAGTGGAGAGGCCTAACAGGAAAGTGAATCAGCAAAGTGCTGGGACTCAGTCTGCTTGGGGAGGGCTTCCTGGAAGCGGTGGCCTCCGAGCTGAGGCTCCCGTGTGAACAGCAGCTCGTCTGGTACAGGGCGGAGAGGGGCCATCCATCCAGGACGGGCAGTGGGTACAGAGACCCAGAGACGTGGCCGCCCTGGCAAGCCCTGCAACCTGGGATTAGAGTGTAGGATGCCCAGGACTGGGAGGAGGGGCCGCTCCCAAGGAGCTTTGAGTGCCGCGTCCGGGCCTTGCACTGTATCTGCTGGGCCGGAAATGTCTGGCTGCGGCCGAGTGGATGCGGTGGGGAGGCAGGCAGGTGTAACTGGAGGTCCGGGCAAGCGAGGAGGCGCCCCGGGTGCGGCAGAAAGTTCTGGGAGGCAGGAGTGGGTCGGGCGCAGCATCGATTGGGTTTGGGGGGTGAGGGAGGTCTGGATGCATTTTCGGCAGATACTTAGCAAGCCGCTGCTCTGAGCCAGGCACTGGGAAAGCCGTGAACACCCGGGCCCTGCGCTCTCGTGCCCTGTAGATAACGGTGGAAACAAACTGTCACATGTGAACGTGTGTTGCACGAGCGGACGACCACCTGTGATCTGAAGGCAGGACGCAGGGAGACGGAAGGGGGCACCAGGCAGCAGAAAGGACCAGGTGGAGCATGGTGGCCGCCTGCAGCTTCCCCGTGGCGTTGGTGCAGATCCCAGGCCTGCCGTGCTCAGCAGGGGCGGGGTGGCCAGTTGGACTTGGATATGTTGGGGGTGACAGACGATATGAGGGTGGCCCCAGTTTCTGACATGAGGGGTGTTCAGGAGCACAGGAAAGGAAGAAGAGGGTAGTCAGGGTACACAGGACGTCCTGGAGAGGTGACCGAAGGCTCTGGGAAGGCTGGGACTGGGGACCCAGGACCGCGGGGTTGAGACGGGACCGGAGGCTTTGGCGTGCTTGGGGTCCCGTGGGGACAGGTGCCTTGCTTCAGACCGGCGGTACTGTGCCTGGAGCAGAGGGGAGGG